TGTTGAGACCAATTGACCATCAAAATATTTTCTTGAATAGAATATATTTTAACTGAAACTTAATAATTACTCCCAACAAAATCTTTGCATACCTCATAAGAGATTATATCACATTTCTTAAGAAGATTAATTAATGAGTGAAAAAGAAAAAATCTTTCATCCAAAAAATTCTAGCGATAATTTCAAACGTTCATCGTAATGACATGACATCCATTAAGTTTGGAGAAGAAGTGTATGGCATTGTCAAATACAATGAACGAGGTGAGTATTTGCTTTAAAAAAGACATGTGAAGTACAAGTTGAAGTTAAAGTGTCTTGTCAAGACATTGAGATCGAAACAGTTAAACTACAACAATGACGATTGAAAGGAGTTGCAAAAACAGATTGTGAATATCGTCATACTTCAATTGCAACCTTCGATTTTGAAAAAAGAGAATAAATATGGCAAATATATTCTCTTGTTTGAGTGTCTTTGACGGTTTCATTGCAAAGGGTTATCAAATAGGTTGTATGCTTTGTAAAAGTTGATGAACTTCAAGATGAAACATTCTGACATCTAAGTCTAAGATCACATTGATGCATTCAATGATCTTGTGATTGATCTTCAAAATCTTGGAGAGTATATATTTAATGAAAGGAAAGTTCTTCATTTTCTAAGCTCACTTCTTGCATCTTATCAGTCAATATCACATATGTTGCTTCATTGTGATAGACAAATCATCACTAATAACAAGGTTGTTAATACTCTTTTGATTGATAACTTACAGTAGAAGATGATGATATCATCAACTCCATTCTCTTCTTACAAGACACTTTATATGACTTGAGATTGATTATATTCACAAAATTATAAGGATGCTATGCATTTTGAATCCCAAGGTTGATTCAAATCTAGGTATAATGTCATAGAAAGAAAAACGATAGTGTGTTGAAAATGTGGCAAAAGTGATAATATCAAGAACTTCCATCGCTTGATTAAACATCTTTAGTTAGTTAAAAATAAAATAGAGGTTGCTCAAAATGAAGTTATAGTTACTTTTGATTGCACTAGTCACAATTGCCACGTCAACAATCCTTGTGCTTGATAGTTAGAAAGTAAATGTGTTACTTCATAGCGTCACGTCAACATGTGTTTGTTAGGTGCAGATTGAATTTGTTAATTGGGAGAATTACTTCAACAATCTGTGTGCTTGTTAGAGTTATACGCCATATCATCAATCCATTAGGAATGAAATGGATGGTAAGAATGAGATTCAATGTTCTTGTACTTGTTGGTAAGATCCATATAAGGGAGAGAAAAACCATTATTAGTATCTTGCATCTTTAGAGTTTATGTTCTCATCTTCAAGTGATTTTATCTCTAAATCTTATTGATACAATGATATCAAAGCAACCTTGCTCTTTCTTAGAATGTGGATTAAGTCTCAAGAAATAGCTAATGCGTGATGTAGTTCTTGAAACTATATAGAGATTAGAAGAAATCATTGATTTGCATGTAAAGATAGAGAAAAAGAAAAAAATTGAAGGAGTTTAATAGGAAACCAATATAACATTAATCAATTTTTAAACTATTTGATATTCATCTTTGTTGTATAAAGAAAAATTATTTTTTGGCATATCTTGTGACTTGTTGGAGTGTAAATATTATGACTAGAGTGATGAAGTTGAGAGTGTCATTGATACTTCCAATAGTTAACTATGAAAAGACTTGGGATTGTACCATTTACATTATATAATGAATGTTTGATGAATTTGAATCGCGAACCATCCGTATTGTAAAACTGGTTTTTGTATGTGTGAAGTAGACAAGTAATGTTTCATGGTTAACTTAGATGTAACTAAGTCTAGCTAATTCTGATTAAATCTAGCTATAATGTCTATTCTTGGCAAAATAATAAGAAAAGTTAGAGAGAAATTGGATGTGCACTTTTATTTTGTGTTTTATAAAAATCTAGATTCCAAGAGAATAGATTTTTGACTATTTGATTGATTTGACAAAATAATGAATATTTCATTGATTAGTTTATGTCTAAAATTGATTTAGTGGTCAATGGAGATTCTAGAAGTTGAAAAATTTCAAATAACATGTCGTCAACTCAATTTAGAAATTAAAAAACTTCAAAAAATTTAGGAGTACAATGGCATGTTACCACGTATTGGGAACTAATCAAACCTACCACGATTTATCTTTGTTAAAGTAAGTTAAATAAAAATCATCATTTATGATTATGGTGATTTGTCAAGTAGTATATAGGAAGGTGGAAAAGAATTTTGTAGAATCAATATGTAGAAACTTCTTTCATCAATGAGAGAGTAATATTTTTAATATCTTGGAGTATCGATGTGTGCGTGAACTTGAATGATGAATGAAAAAAATGTGCGAGAGTGTGTTTGGAACATGAAAATGAGGAGTGATACAATCAAGTTAAGAAAAGAAAAAGAAGATGCACATATCAAATAGAAAGCCATGAAATATGAGATATTTGCATTCAAGAATGAAAAATTAGAAAGAAAAAGAGTTGAAGAAATGAAATTTGAACCTCAAGTGAACACAAGATGAGATTTATCATGGAGCAACAAAGAAAAAAATTGATCATGGAAAATCCAAAAAAATACGATAAGATTTTTTTTGATGTTTTTCATCATATTGCTACACGTCATTCCATCAAGATGTTAATCACTTTAATGCTGCAATTTTATAATTTTTTGCAGAGTTTAAAAATTGTCTCAATGTCTATTATGATAGCTCTCGGTTTGTGTTGTAGATTAATTCAAAAGTAAATTAAAAAAATTGTGATTGATCGATGAACCTCTTGATGACTCTATACGTTACAATTAGCATATTGGATTTAGAACATTTAGCAAGAAAACATAACGTGACCAATAGGTGATATCTCACGCAATAAGTTGACTTACTTCACTCTATGTTCAATATTTCATGTCAAAGTTGAATTACATACTAATATGCAATTCAAATATAAGTTGTCTCATGAACCAAATCTTTTGCTCAATGTGGAGATAGGGCATAGTTTGAGAAGTCTACACATGTTACATAGGATTCGAGAGTGTTGTTTCAAACCATCGAGACACGTGTTCGAACATCCTGTTGTTTTCACCCTCCTAGGCTATCACGATGGATGCATATTCAAAAACTGAAGCATATACTTGACAAAAGAGAATTAACCTAAAAAAGACTTCAACCCACTTCTCACTCGGAGAAATCATGGAGCTCTCAGTAGACGGGAAGTTTATCCTGCAGACAAGTTGTATTTCCGTCAGTAGTTTAGGATATTTCATACCCGAGCACCAGTGTGACTTATGAGCCCAGTCATAATTTCCTGTCTCTTAAACGTCGTGTAACATGAAGTTCGGTTATGTACGAAGTCTGGGTCCATGAAGCAGAGGGAAGCTCGGAAATACTTCTTTTTAATCAGCAGCTCTTCATCACATGGGCTCTACGTTCTGCGTTCTAGAATTCCTTATTGTGCCTTGAACGTTAGCTCTTCTGGAGCTCCTCGCCTGTTTGTTTCCAGGCACCAGGGGACGGGATTCGAGAGGACACTCATGAGGGGAATCTTTGACACTGCGCGTCTTTCACAAAGTTCATATCTACACCGGATGTACTCTGCACCATGAGTAGATTGCGTTGGACTTCGGTCTCTGTGAGCTTTGCCTTGCCTCAAAACTCACGAGAAGTGTGGTGAAGGTCACCTAAATCAAAGGTTCCTCGGTGGATGCTCAAGAACAGTCCACACAAGAATGCCACACCAACCGTCAAATCCTGCATTTCTACTTCACTATGGGTGAACTGCCTGCTTGTCGGTGCAGATCAATGCTCAGCACATGGACAACATTTGTGCAAAAAGAAAGTGACCGCTACCCACCCTCCTCTTTGCATCGTCTCCAAGTTATCAACGATACCGACCGACAACACACACTATCACACAACACATTCACATGCTCTGGCATTTTGTAAACTGAGTGAGGGACTTCGCTGTACTCCGGAAGAGGATGTCGGGAATACCATGTCGACCTCATTCTCGGCCAAATGTGAAGGACATATATCTGTACTGTGTGCCCGAATATTCATCCATTCTTGCGAGGGAGCGTTGGAGCCATGGGTGAGAGTGACCATCCATTGAGCAGTGCCGCCGTGCTCTGTGCGGTCTGGTCTGAATCTGAACGAAGAGGTAAAGCAGTGTGGTAAATAAGTACTACTTTGTCGAGGGCTGGGTATGGTGCAGCTCCAAGCCAGGACCGGCCTGGCCTGGCCTGGCACAGGGTCACACAGGCTTCGCGTGGAGCTTCCTTGAGAAAAGTTTGTCAATGTAAAGATGCGCAATCGATGCCCTCTGAACAACTGTACAGGGCCAAAGCAGCCAGCCAGCCGCACTGCAAAACTAGACACAAATAGGTAGAGAGAGGGGGAGGAGACTATGATTGGTCACGTCAGGTAACCTGGTAGCTCCGAATATTACGCTTGTCTCGAACTACACTCAGACCTCAAGAGTCCAGACCTGAACATTCGGATAAAGGACCATTTAAGACGCCCGGCTGATGCTCTCGATGGCATATCTTCCTAATCATGAACTCTAGATTCATCCTACGGTGAACACAATCTGCACCAATTCGACTGGCTCGCTCGCTCGCTCACAAAGTTCAATGTGTCCAAACTCCATTGCTCATTGCATTGCTCGGGCCCAGCTCAGTCGGTCTCGGACTCTCGGCCCATGACCCCCATCACTCACGCAGTAAGTTACCTGCGGAGCGATGGATCGGCGGTAAGGGTGGACTTGGAGAAGGACCAGGTTAGTGTGAGGAGTACAGTTACTGAACTGAACTTATCATGGCCATGCCGAAGCCACGCAGTAATTCGCGACAGAAACATTTCATGAAAGGCCTGTGGATCAAGACAGGGCAGTAAAACAGGCTAAAAGAGAGATTGTGACGCTGGATTTATGATGTCAAAACGTGGAGCCTTGGCTGATAGAGACCGAGTTGTCAGGATTCACAGGCGGCAAGGGTGGCGAATCAGGCTGACAGCAAGAGCACGTCCAGAAACGCACATGACTTGAAGTGTCACGCGTGCGAGGTTAACTGAGGGACCGGGCAGAGCTCGGAATCGCGAGTGATGACAGTGCATTGCGGCCCCATTGCATGAAGTTATTGCCCACAGGGCCTGGAGGACGCGACGGTATGGTAATGGATATATGATTATGATTTGGAAGCAGATTGGGTGGGATTCGCTCTCGGCTGGCGTCGTGTCGCCTTGTTCATTTTCTCTAAGCGCGATTGTAGCTAGCTCGAGCGGCTGCCCACTCCTGGCCTCAAATGCAGCTTGGCTCATTTGTGGATGGATCGGTCGATGGAGTAGATTGGTTTGTGTGGAGAGAGAGAGAGAGAGAGGAGAGGAGTCATGGTCGCAACACAGGTCTCTGCCTTTTGCTAAGTTGAACTTACTAAGCAAGCGTCACCACTTCCACTTCAGCATCATTCATCGTGAGACCCAGCAGGAATCGGGCAACTACTGAGCTTCAGCGGCTGATAACATCGATCGATCGATCGAGAGAGAGAGGGTCGTACTCAGTTATACTGCGGCACATGCAACGGAGTGGACTAGATGAATGAACAAAGGGAGGAATCTGATCTGTGACGAGAGGCGGACAGAGGAAGGGCTTCGGTAGCTGGCAGGAGTGGCAAATTGAAGGACCATGTTGAGGAACAACACGCGGATTATCGCATTCAATCCGCGATTTAGCAAGCTAGTGACAAAGGAGTATGTTAAGAAGCTTGCCGGAACCAAAAAGAACTCGTCGAGCTCCAGCCCGAATTCGAATGAACAGCGAGCCAAGAATGACAATGGGCGCCCTGCCACTCCCATGGTCCAGCAACTGGAAGATGATTTCACGCAGCGTTTGGGTAAACACCGCAACGCAAGGGTAGGTGAAGTGGACACCGGCTGCAGTAGCACTTCTTCCAAATCCTCCTCCGATTCCGGCACCTTCAAGCCTGGCCACCATCCCACGCAGTTCGAGTACCGGAGAGCTCTGCGCAAGCGGAGCCAGTCGCTTCGAGAGCACCGCTCGCGGCAGTTGCTCAGCGTCTTACACGAGGAAGAGATCATCGATCCTCCGCCTCCGTCGCCCTCAATTCTCGATACTCCGCGGCGCTCGTCCGTCGATGGCCTAAATGAGAACATGCTCATGCGCACTCGCAACGCAAAAGCCACCAGTACCTCGTTCGGCCGATTTCACCATCGCAGCGGCTCCAACGGTGGCTGCACCAATGGAGCTGCCAGTGGCACGAGCGGTCACAAGCGGCAGCACTGGAAGCCGAGGCCCAAAGGGTTGCGATCGCGCGTGGTGGCCACTCTGGTGGTGTTGAAGGACCATTACCAACATCTTCTGAGCTCGCTCAACGGCGAAGAAGTGCGCCGAGAGTACTCGAATCTCGACGGCATGGTCATCAATCCCAAATACGATTTGCAGTTCGCCGACGATCTGCACTTGCATCCTCGGCACGACGATGATTTTGAGCACGACAGCGCCGTCTCGGATTACCGCAGTGTTAAGGTCCGGTTCAAAAGATCTCTCAGCTGTAAAGTATGATAAGAGTAGACGATCGTAGGAAGAAAGATTCAGACCGCACTGGTAGGTGGCTTCATCCTTGCCTCGCCCTCGCCGATGATTGCAGCTCTCGTGAATTCTCTGACACCTGCTCTACACAAAGACACACACTCAACACTCTGCCGATAGCAATTTTTTGCCAGGAGCAGCGTCATCATAAGTTCGCATTTCTCGCCTCGCCTTATTAATTGTACAAAGTCAGCGTGCCATTTTGCTACGCAATCACCACATTCTTCTCATGACGTTACTGTCTCCCTTTACATATGTAATAACCTCCATTTTTAAGACCGCATACCTGAATATCATTCGATTGAAAGTATCTAGCGTCTGACCTTGGTATGATGTCACGCTGCGTTCCTCTCCGTGGCTTGCCGTTCTCTCTTGATAGGGTTGGTCCTGATTTCCCAGTTAACAGTAAGGATATCCGAAGGAGTTAAAGACTTCAAATGTACAATCTACATACTTACCGCTTGTGTGGGAGAGGGAATTTTTATACAGTGGTCGATTCGACGGAGATGCTTTCTTGCCAGCGGTTGTGTTGGGAACTTCGACTGGTAGGCGAGGAGTGAAATTGGCTAGGAATCATTGCGAATTCCTGTCAGAACACACAGAAAATTTGATGCCAACTAAAGCAACCGAAGGTACTCCACTGATATCGACGACTGTGAAGTAAAGCTTGAGACTCTGGTACGCGAGATTCATTCACGCGAGATCATGATTTTGTAGATCGGGAAAGCATTCGAGCTTGTGGGCGTACAAGCAGCTTGAGGACATGGATGAAGAACAATACAGTGGGAAGATGGGACAATTTACTCTGGGTAGTCACGGCGATGGTTGGATAATTGGAATGGCTAACAACGGTAGAAGTGCCCACGGGACGCTCTCGCGAGAAAACAACACAGCCACGAGGACCTCACAGCTCCGTTGCAAATTTAGAGTAACCTCTTGCCGTCGTCCATGGATGAAGCCCTGTGTGATTCGGCATGGCCTTCACTGCCGATACGTGGACGGTGGACGTGGCGGACGAGATCTAAGTGGTAAGTCGATTCATCCCAAGAGAAGGAAGGCCAAAACATCTCGCTATCATTTCCGGTCTGGAGGTATCTTAGTCAAAACCAGAAGCCCACTTTTTAGAAGAAAATAGATGGGCACGTGCACGAAAAGTAAGGTGAAGCAATGTTTGATCAATGTTTTCTCGTTGAAGGAAATTCATGTAAAGCTGACAGACTGCGATTCCCAATTGGTATCTCTCTCCATAGACTTCCATTGGGATCCTCGCCAGATGCACCAACCTGATCGAAATGGCAGCCAGCCTCAAGCTCGCACCGAACGGACCGACGCACTGGGAGAGTTAGTGCAGCGTACGGCAGTGTGATATTGTAATGACATAAGCGTACTGCACTAACTGGAAGAGGGATAATCGTGCGCGAGTAAACTCTACTTGGTGTCAGAGTTCCCCAGAAGATATTCGGAAGCACTCATCCCAGAAGAGCTGCATCGAACTTACACAGTCCATGAGGGAGTAATTTTGAGTAGAATACGTCGTGATCTCCAGTGCAGTAGTCAGCTTTGCCTCACTGCGTTGAATCTCGAGATGAGGCGGCCTGGCAGGCAACGCAATCCATTCCAATTGCAATCTATTCACAACGCTGAGATAGTAGCTTGGAGTCTCTCACAGTCATCGCACATTTCGGTCTGCATTGGAGCACATGCATTTCTCTAGCACTGAGAAGCAGCAGTCAAGCTCAGAGTCCAGAGTCCAGACCTTGTGCATCAGCGAGAATGTCAATGAGCTCGAGTCGGCAATACAAACTTCTACAGCGCCCCCGGTCTCTCTCTGAGTTTGGCCCATTCAAGAACCGTGGATTCTAGTGCAACGTGCCGTACGTTGCATCGCATTCTCGCATTGTCACATCGCATCGCGTCGTCAGTACTACTTATATCGACGACCCATTTGCCCGCCAACGTGCAAAATGTACATTCGGCCGTATATCGACTGTGGTTCTGACATATGCTGGACGGAAGACATAAGTGACCGAAAAAATCCCGACTGCTGACCACGGTGACTGCCTGCAGCGGGGACTCTGGGGAACGAGCCAGGAAGCCCCGCGGTTCCAGGTCCTTTTGTCACCGGAAACCGGCTATTTGTTGCTGCACAACATTGGAACTGCAGTTGAGCTACGCTAGCGCACGAAGTTCTTCAAATTTTTAGGCAGTAGCGACTCCGGCTCGCTTAGACTGATGGAATGTAGGCGACTACATGTTGCGTTCGAAATGCTTCCTTTGCACGAACCTTGAGGATCGGGGCTGGAAGTAGATGTGGGACGTTTGGGAATGAAATCAGAGATGGCAGCGGTAAGCGAGAATTGTATCATGGAGCAGCGATTGAATCCTCTAACCGGGCAATCCGAGTGGATTGTCGTCAAATTGCAGTCGGAGTCGGAGGTGGACAAGTATGACGATTTCGGGGCCTTGAACGAACGAGGAGGATCTCTAGGGCACACACTATACTTGGACATGTTGAACGATGTGGAACGTAACAGTGCCTATGATCAGGCGATCAGAAAGGTCGTTGCGGAAGGTGCTCATCATGTGCTGGATATTGGGTATGTAACTGCGAACATTTTGTCTCCTTCTGTTGTTCTTCTTCATCGGAAGGGCCTTCTTGCTTGCACGATTGTGTGCCTCTTTCACCTACTGCCGCGAAATTGTGTTTTCTTAAATTTGATGACTCTTGCAGAGCTGGAACAGGGCTTCTGTCTATGATGGCTTCGCGTGCGATGAGGGATGCAGTTCAGTCTCGCCAGCTTGAAAATGAAGGGGACGCGGTTATTGCATCGAGGGTGGTATCTGGGAAAGTCACGGCTTGCGAGTCTTACCTTCCCATGGTTCGTCTGGCACGGAAGTTACTCAGAGCTAATAACATTGGTGCATCTGTTCGTCTTGTTCACAAGCGTTCGGATGAGATGGAGATTGGAGTCGACTTGAGCTCACCTGCAGACGTCCTGGTTAATATCTGCAACTCTCTGTACACCGGTACACCTTAGTCACAAGCTTTAGAAGTTAACTGTTTAGGTCTTACTTTTATAATTCTTGCGACCTAGACATCTATATGATATGAATTGGTGGATCCGTATCATACGCCATATGAGGAGTTAGCTTATACTCGCTGTAATGGGGCTCACAGGTTTCTGAGATACTGGACTCAGAGCTCATAGGGGAGGGTTTGATTCCAACTTTGCGGCATGCCCATGCCCATCTTCTGTCTCCTGTTGCCCGAAGTGTCCCCCACAGAGCCGTATTGTATGCACAGGTATACCATCTCGCTCTAATATTCAACAAGCTGTGCGTTATGCCTGCCTTACACATCAGCTCTCATGTTACTCAATTGAGTCCTGATTGTGTCCTCTGCATTGACAGTCAAGTTTTGTTGGCCAGAACCATCAAGAAATTGCTATATGTTTACCATTGCAGCGCCAACCCTGGTCGCCTCGAAAAATTTGAGCCCTAAGCTTGTTTTACAATCACAATGGAATCTCCCTGATCGCTTGCTTGTTCCTAGCTTGTCGAATGTGATTACCTGCGGAGAAGATGTGATCTGTCAGGTTGTGAGGCAGAAGTGGACGACGGACTGCGGCTAGACGTTTCGAAATCCCGAGAATGGTATTCAGGATTCTCGAGGGCGATGCACGTTGACCCACTTGTGAGCCACCTGAAAGTGGTACGCTGACCTAGCTGTTTTCTTTTGGTTCTTCTCGCTGTGTGCTAATGCGGGTTCTCTTTGCAGTTCATTTTGTCGAGTTTTTCCACTCATATATTTTCTCATGAATGTCTCTGGATTACTTTGTGCATTATCAGTTTAGTCCATAATTTAATCAAGATCCTTGTAAACGCGTTGCAAATCATGAGGACTCACTCTTCGGCCTTTACGAATGTATTGAGCATGTGTCATTTGTATTCGTGCTGTTTGTAGTTCGTATAAATTTAACTTGCACCTTATGACATCTCTTCTCTTCGCCGCAGTAGCTTTGTCTGTTGTCTCAAAGAGTGTCTTGCTTTATATCAGGAGTTTTTGGTTTGACTTTTGCATGTAACAGCTCCTTATATTTCTGTCCAAATGGCACAACTTTGCATCTACCTGCTGTTCTTCTATTTCTGGAGGTACTCTCATTACCGAACAAGCCATAGATGTGCCCTTCCATCCTTCTTTGCTGGATGGATACGTGGCCTTCTGTGTTGCATATCTGGTAATCTCAACCGCTAAATAATAACATATGTTTTTGGACATTTGTCTCCTGAAGTAAGCTGTCACTTTATTAACCCATTGGAGGTCTGTGGGCTTGTATGTAGTTATCAGAACCTTTTGAGGTCTTCCAATTCAATTTCTGCGAGGTACCAGCTAATCACAGAGAGCATGCGCTAAATGTGCCAATAACAAACTCAGGCAATGTACATGCACTCATATCATGGTATTGTCAATAATGCGATCGGCAATTTTTCCTGTTCTTTGTGATTTTTCTCCTGATTGCTAAGTTGTCACTACAGATGTTTTAGTTCATTGTCGGAGCATTTGTGCCTGTCTGCCGGCTTAATCTCAACCACATTTCTTAGATGTTTTACTGTGGTGTAGCTGATAGTTTACCTCCATTAGCTTCTTGCACCCGTTCTAGTTAGTATAATTAGATCTCTGAGCTTGTCATTTCGTTAAATCAAGTGAAGATGAATGGTGGCTAGTTCGAGTTCCGCTTGTTTGAATTGCTCGTTTGGTAAATTGACACAGGTGGAAGCTTGACCTCGACGACGAGGGCACTATAACGTACTCTACAGCACCAGCTTGGACACGCGAAGGGGCTCGTACCGTTCAATCTCTTTTTAAAGTTTACAGCTCTGGGTTATGGATGATTTGTTTGTAGAAAAAATTGAACACGGTGACCTAAACTGTAGAGTAGAAACAAACAAAATCCTATGTTGCTGATTTGAGAATCTTGTGAATTTAAAATGTTACCAGTGTAACCATTACAGAGGATGTAACGTAATGCCGACAAACCATGTAGCCTCAATCTCTAACTACCCATGCGCTAAAGGAAAGCAAGAAAAGAGATCGCTGAGTATAACTTCCTTTCACCTTCAGAGTTTTGGTTGTCATTGATAACATCGCGACGGAGCGATAGATGTTGCGGCTAGGTGGTTAGTCCTGATTTACTTACTTCCACTGTAATAAGTAACTTGGAAAGTTTTGCGAGTTAGTTATACTGGGGCTCCTCTTCAGCTCAGATGCTCCGTTTATGTTTCACACTGACCTTTCGGGTAATTGCTCTCTGCCGCAGATTGTCATAGATGGAGAGATCACTGGAGACAATGTGTTTGGTACTTTCCTGGAGACTATGTGAAAGTTTTTGTCGGACAGTCGCAAACAATTGAAGCCATACATGATGAGATCAGTGTTACGTACAAATTACGATCGTTTGGGGAGAGGGAAGGACCAGGAGGAGTTGATGAAAGTATCTCACATGGGTTGGTCTTGAGACCTGAAAGAATTGGTTTACTAGGTAGCGAGAAGTATCGCAGAGTTCTCAAAGAAGCTGTCGTGGAAGCTGTGAGTACCTCAACCTTAAAACTTTTACTTCTCTGATGCACGGAACTTGTTCCAAGCCCTGAATTTACAACTTCCTCAACTTATCTGAAGGCTTGTGATATGCCTACCTTGTGAATGTCTGTCCTCTGAATCCGTCGCTTTCTCTAGTCTAGTTTCTAGATATGTGTTTTATTCTGTCACTTAGACCTAGAGCTGATCCCATGTATTGCTGCTGCCTGCTTTCCCGTTTCACTTGCAGGCTTTCGTTTTGCGTGCTCTATGATGGCCTGCATTTAATTACCGCCGACTTCATCGGTGCTATCCATGTTTCCTGGGCCTGTTCTTTATCGGGTTATAGAGTCCTTGCGGTTATATTTCCCCGGTCTGTGCTCCTCGTTCTACATTCTTGTTAAGCCCTTGCGGTTGATCTGGTTTTATTTCAGTTGTTCCATGCCCCATTGAAGACCACACTTTCATGAATTACGAGCATATTTATGATTTAACAAGGTTGAATCATATCAGCGAGTACCTTCTACTGTAACTTGCAAAGTTTTTAATTCTCACTCTTTCGAACCAAGTGTTATGGACTTTCATTACCTCATCCTCATTGTGACCTCTTGCATCGTTCTGAAGCTTGGCGGAGCTGCTTTTATTTCTTGCAGTGTTCTTTGATAATCAATTGATATGAATAACGCTTATACACGAACCATGTGGCTGTGGAATAGGTTCGACAGAAATCTTCACCATTGTGCCTCATAGTTGACGATAGTGTACTATGCACACTCTTAGCGGGTGCGGCGAATGCAGACGCTCATGTGATCACCATGTTGCCTGGATGTCAACTTGATGGCGCCTCTTACATCCGAGCTGCTGCACTTGCAAATGGACTAAAACCTGATCAAATCAAGGTTTTTGGGAGAAAGGCTGCTTCTCTTACATCCGAGCAGCTGAATGGCAGGAAGGTAGCAATACTCTAAATTATACTTTGACACACAGTATGATGAATTTGTCTGTATCGTTATAAAATTTAGTCACAAGTAGGAACATATCTTATAATACCTTGAACTTCGTTGATACTGACGAAAGATGTGAGATCTTACCATGATTAATATAAAGTGTATATGTCACTAGTGCAACATGAGTGCATCAGTATATTTGATACATGGTTGGCTTCGGCAGGTTGATGTCCTAATCGCAGAACCATATTACAGAGCTTATGAGGATTTACTGCCATGGCGACATCTTCGCTTCTGGTTAGGATATTCTTAACCAAGCTTTTAAAACGTTCATCTGATAGGTCTTCTGACGGTACAAAGAGTGTTTAACACTGTTAAAAATATCATCTTAGAGATTTATTTGAAGACGTCTTCTTATTTTGTTACCCAAGTTGAAATTATTTGCATGACGTGAATCAACCAAGCTGATAGCGATTGGATTGGTCAGGTATGAACGGACGTCTCTTGCGCCCCTGTTGGCTGAAAATGCTGTGATAAGTCCTTGTAAAGGTGTCTTACGTGGTGTGTTTCTCCATCTTCCGGTGAGTTAATTCTTTGAAATTAGGAGCCTTGAAAACGATTGGATACATTTTATGCAAGCTATGCAAATACTGACTTTTCTCTCAGCTTGTGGATTAGAGTATTTCTTGATTTTACAGGGTTCTGAACCTCCTCTCAAGTTTAGTTTCTTTTCGTACCCGTGAGGTCTGAGATTTAGTCATTCTAAGATATTATTTGTTGCAAAAACTTTTGTTTCTTAAGTTCTGCAAATCATGTTACACAATTGAATGTACTGTCAATCTTCATCGCGACAGAGTTAGGTGCTAAAACCTGAGTACAAGAAGTTCCTTACATCTTTGAGTTTCTAGTGGCCTGGGTTGTGTCCTATGTTGTGATCTGGTGATGGAACGACCACTCATGCTTCCCGAAGTGTGCAACTCATAGGAGGCATCCAGTTCTTTAAATGACATAGTAGAGGACGTGAAAGCCCATTAATAGCACTTGAAGCCCAAGGTTCTCAGTCTTTCATGTCCCTCACCTTAAGTTAGTCCTTCGATCAGCTCTTCTTGCATGTCTTGACTTGTGTAAAACTTCGGTTCTCGAAAGTATTATGTTTTCTTACGTCTCTGATATTGACTGCGCATTTCAGGACTTATGGCAGAGTAGGAGAAGCCTGTCCAGTGTGGAGGGCTTTGACCACTCATCAGTGAATCAAGTTTTGGGTGCGTGTGGAGACATGCCGCCCTCGTGGGAGGGACCTCTAGTACCATATTCTATTTGGCAGTGTGGCCGGTCTAAGGTACGTCCATTCATCCATATGTCAACAAATTTATGAGGAGCTATTAAACTCCGTCATTTACGTTGGGAATTTGAGTAGTAAGTTGTCAATAAAAGGCAGAGTAACTTACTAGCTGCAGTCTAAGCTAAATTGATCTTTCACATGCAGGAGCTAACTGAGAAGTTTGATATCATGGAATTCAACTTCACACTCACGCTGCAAGCAGTTCAAGGCTCTGTTAAGGTAACTTAAATCAATTGTTGTTAAATATCGTACCAACACTTGACTTATGTTCTGATTAATGTGTATTATAATCATTGGATCATGAGGAAAAGTTTACAGTTTTGAAACCACTCCAAGTCATGAGGTACTAAGTGGAGACAGATGAAAGGCTTTGGTGCTTGCGAACGTTTGGCTGCCTGACTGGACCAGACTAAACTGAAGACAGAAGGAGTCCGGTTATTTGTGAACATAATTGGCCTCAGTTCTACGCAAAGGAAAAATAGTTTCTCCTACCGTTTATACACCCGTCCCTTGAATTTTATCAGAAGGAGGTACATGAAATGTGGTGCGAGGTCGTTTGCCAATTTCTGGTTCCTGATTATTTTCTTCCGCCACCCAACATAGCTTTTGAGCTGTTTATCAATCTCAGATGTCGTCAGTCTCTGCGACGGCTGACACTTGTAGGGCGCGTCTAGGGTTAAGGGTCTTTATATTATAGAATACCTGAGGCTGTGGTTGAAACATAAGCCACAGTCTATAATATGCTGTAGGTTATCTCGTCAATTTCCTCCAACATAGTGTGACTGCTGCTTTGTAGTCCATTAATTTTGCATTCCTGAGGCACATGCATTATAAGTTCGTTCGGTCCGTTCGGTTACGATCACTAGGTTTGGAACCTTCCCATTAAGGCTTGTTCTTCGTTAACTGCTTGGCCTTTATGGTGGTCACTGAGGATCTCGTACTTAAATCATGATGATGCGTAACGGATAATACCTGATGTATTACATGTTCTGGTCTCCACAAGAACCTGATACATTATCCTGTCCCTCAAGATGCATCGATCAGATTGAACCAGTAGACTCTCTGGGAGAGAGTATACCTGGATAAGAAGTTGATGTATCTGAAACAGATTCTTGTAGAGACCAGGAACATATACGACATCTGGTATTATCCGTTCATGTCCATCATTCAAAGAAATGAGAACATTACCTTTTTTTGAATGGGTTTGCGACTGTCGTGGCCCAGATATACAAATTCTTCAAATGGTAGTTCAGTTTATGTCACAAAGGCATTTTTGTTGTATGTCATGTATTGGGTAGCATCAGAATCCAAATTTCAGGCCGGATCCATCCCCCATTCAAAGAAATGAGAACGATACCTTTTTTTTTGAATGGGTTTGCGACTGTCGTGGCCCAGATATACAAATTCTTATGATGGTAGTTAAGTTTCAGGCCAGATCCATCCCTACGGATGATAACGTGGTGACATACAACCGCTGTTGATCGTCTGCTGGAGAATGTGCAGAAGAGTTGTCTTGTTTCTTCTTCCGACACTCGTTAGCAAGATGGCTTCGTTTCTTGCAATAAAAGCATTTCATCTTTTGCCTGGGAGAAGATGGTTTTGCAGGAGGTTCCTGTCGGGATAAAGAACCTGCCTCAGTGGAGTTTCTTGGATGTATCATCTTTGGCGTCCACCTTCGTCTCTTTGCTGCGTAGAGTGCTGCCATTCCGTCGGTCAACTCTTTTTCTTTGAGTTGTGCTTCTTCAAGAAGAACACTAGCAATAACAGATTGAGTGGTCAACTCTTCTTCTTTGAGATGTGCTTCTTCAAGAAGAACACTAGCAATAACAGATTGAGTGGTCAACGCGTAATGTGATCGCATTAAAGAATCGATACTCTATAGGAAGACTTCCAAGGAGACAGATATAAGCTTCTGACTCTGGAATAGTCTGCCCTACAGAAGTCAACTGGTCAAGAAGTAGACAAAATTTGGAGATATGTCTCGCCACATACTCGCTTGTATTCATTTTGAGAGTATGCAATGCATCTCTCAAGTTCATCTGCATTGGTATGTCATAGAATTCAAAAACCGTATTCAGTTCAGCCCAGGCCTCTGCTGCTGCTGTAGCACAGCGAGCAATCAATGGATGTTGAAAGTCGGCAAACGAGTTATTCAACACCGCCAAGGAAATGAGGTTTTTATCATCCCATTCCTTCTTACTCCTCCCTGCACCTGACTCAGGAGTTTTGGTTGTAGAACGAGGTGTAGTGTTTGATCGGATCTCCTTACCTTCCATGACGCCTATCAATCATTCCACTCAAAGGATCCAATTCATCTTGTTCTTCCAGGAATGGAAATGTTCCCTATTGAATTTGGGTAGATCTTTCCATGCGATTCGTGTTGAAGCCCCTCCAGAAGTCATCTTCCAGAACTCTTCATTGAAGCTGGGAACCCTGGCGAATATTCTAGATTGAACTTCTGTGATTCACGTTCTGTGCGAAATCGTGAACGGTGACCCCAATTTTGGGAATTTTGAAATTTCACTAGGAAGTGATGAAATTGTTAAAATTTCATCCGAAATTTTTAAAAAATTTCATCAATTTCGTGCTCCTCCGCACTCTGATCAGCTCTGCCGAATGGCGAATCTTCAAGAGGGCACAGTTACAAATCTTCCAGACGGTCGCTCTGATACCATATTAGAGAAATAAAACAAGAGCAATGCTGGAAAGGGTGGAGACAGAGGTACTGAGTCCTAGAGAGTAGCTCTGAGTTGTTAATGAAGACAGGACCCGGATTGGGTTTAAGTACCCAATCCTTATCCGAGGTTACAAAGGTAATGATCATAGGGACACCTCCGTAGTGGGAACGTTTGTGGTGTCTGTTACATCATAGCTGCAGTCCTAACTATAATTACACAGGAAGCGACAGCAAGGAAGGAGGGAGTAATCCGTATCCTAACACTCTCGTATGCTGTGGGTTATCTCGTCAATTTCCTCCAACATAGTGTGACTGCTGCTCTGTAGTCCATTAATTTTGCATTCCTGGGTCACATGCATTATAAGTTAGTTCGCCTCCGATCACTAGGTTTGGCACCTTCTCATTAACGCTTGTTCTTCGTTAACTGCTTGGCCTTTATGGTGGTCACTGAGGATCTCGTACTCAGGTCATGATGCGGTCGGTACGCATCGTGCTTTGTTGTTTATCGGACTTTTGAGATGCGACAAGTTGCAGGTACCCGCTCAGTTGATGCTAAGATCGCTTCACTGATATTTTCTGCTAGGAACGTCGGTCTCCTCCTTCTTTAGGTCATGCATTTTTGTTCCTGTTTTTAAATTATCGTCTTTCCATCGACTAGCGGACTACGATTTGGTGTCAAGGCCTTTTTTCAAGTGAACTGATGCTCTGTCGGCTCTGCTCGACTATAGAAACGCCAAACTAGATCATAACTTAACTTGCACCTTCCTTGAGGTACTTCTTCTACTGATTGATCTTATACTGTCTTACGAAGTCTCCCGAATTTCGAATATTATATCTCTGTTGAAACATCGTTCACGAGCCACATTTAGAACTCAGTCGAAACAAGCAAAGGTTGCGTAGTTCAGCAGATGTATAAGAGCAGTGTGTATATTATTCCTCACTGAAGCCAAAATAGTAGTTCTTCGATGCTGCATGTACACGTAATCTGGTATACTGATGTGGAGCCGGAATTTCGGCGTTATATAAATGAGACGTTAATCATTGAACAAGAACATCCTCTGCCGGTGCGGCTGCCATCCAGGAAGTTCTTCTGGGATCTGGTGTGATGTGATTGTTAGGCCCCATACCGTGTGGTTGATTATAAAGGTCAGATGGGATGTATTATACCATGGCGTTCCACCGATCGATACATTGACCGACTTCTTTGCAACTATATACTCACACGGTCAAACCTTGAGTCTCACTATGTCACCTGATATGAGAATTGGTCGTCACATCAGGGGATAACTACTGAGTCCCTACCATTTCGAACTTTTCTTACACATGCTGGTTCATGCTACACTTTCATTTTCTTTTTGGTCAATCAATCTGCACCCGTTACTAATGCAATTTTCTTCTTCATAGAAGGAATTTTTAGTTTGTACGACTATTGTACTGCTCAATTTGTATGTTATTCAGGTTAGTTTTCCCTTCTGAGTCCTTCCCCAAGCACATCTTACCACATCACCTTCATTATTGCTTCAAGGTCCATCCCTTGTCACAAGCTCTCTGTTTACGTCGCCTGTAGCACGTAGCACAGTAAGGGGCACATGTCCCGATCTCCATTCATATTGATGTTACATATGATTTACAAAGGGTCCCATTTTGCACATCTTTACAGTAGAAGTAATTGCTTCATATGTGGTAAATGGAACGCATGTTGCATGTTGTTGATCTCTATAGTTGAAACAGAAAGGTTGGATGCGAGGCATTTACTAACAAAGAGAGTAGTCTTCCCGATGTACACTACTTTAGTATCCATCGTAAAAACTACACTCTTTGTTAATGAATGCCAGTAGTTGTACTGGTTATCCCGTGGTGCAAGTGGTAGCCGCCTTGCTGCTTAGCAAGGCGCACCTAATCTGCTTTTAAAGCCAGAGGACCGCTCGTCGTTACTGATCGAGGTCTGGATACATACTGACTGCAGTGCTAGCTAGTCTTTCTCTCTATCCTGGATTATATGTGTAGCAAAGTGTAAACACGTCTGTTCTTTCGAGAATATAAGGGCCATCCCTTTCATCACATTTACCCGCAGTCTTTGCGGGGTATACGGGATAAGTGTACTCGTTATTACATGATGGGAGTAGGAGCCACCTTGTTTTGTTTCTATGTCCTCTAGTTTCATTGCAAGATATGATGGCAATCGGTTTTTTGTTTTAAGGATTACCGAAATTTCCCCTTTGCGAGGGACAATCATGTAATTTCACTGGTTATAACAGGTGTCGGTTATAGATACCTTGCTATGTTGTAATGTGGAAAGTTTCGGAAGAGCTATGGTTTTTGCATGCGGAGCTCTTCTTTGACAAGATGAATGCGTTTTGCTTCCAGATAGTCTTTCTCTGTTTCCTGTTTCTCAGGTTTCTTATTTTCAATCAACATGCTCCATTGCCGCTGTTAATTTTTCCAGTCTTTAATTCAGATTTGTGTGCCTTTCCGTTCCCATGGGTGATGCCTTTCTCATTCCCATGTGTGCTTGATTCCTCTTATGCTTGATCGTTCAAGCCGCCACCTACCTACGTTTACTTTCGCCCGTAACGCTCTACACTTGGCTGATAACGGGTAGACCAACTCGTGTGCATATTCTTGACCTTGCAGGTGAAACAACACTAAATATATACTTAAAAGAGGCAACCTGAAATAAGTTTTACTTCATTTGTAGCTTACCGCTGTCACTGATCCATGGACGGTCAATACTTTTTATCTGCACTCTAGAGAAATGCCTGCCACTCATACAGTATATCGTGTTTCAGGTACCGGTCTTAAATTCAGGTCTTTGCCACGGTGTTGCGCTTTGGATCGACTGGGTGATGGACACACAACACCAACATTTGATTTCAACAGCACCTTCAGGTATTTGTGGTCCAGCGAATGTGTCGGAGTTCAGTTACCCGCAAGTAACATTCTCTGTTCTACCGTTATATAGTTAATAAAACTTACCCGATTGAAACTCGTTTCAGATCGCGAACCAAACGACTGGAAGCAGGGAATCAAACTTCTCAATGTCCCGGTGAAACTTCTGTCCAAAGAAGAATCAAGTTTGACTATCTCAGCTGCTTTTAACCCCCTAACAGGAGACATCGCTGTTGACGTGGACACACAAACCTCATGAAGACGACATCGCTGGAGTATGAGACATCCTTGGACCGAAGTGCAAAGGTAGTGCTACATAACCAATCTTTACATGAATAACATCCTTGGACCGAAGTGCAAAGGTAGTGCTACATTACCAATCCTTACATGAATAACATTGATTCCTGTACTCATATAGAACCATGCCAATTAAATCAGTCGGATGTATTATTACAATGGCGACACTTTTGACTGTGTCTCCCTTTTTTGGCATAATACTCAAAAGTTGCTGCATATTTCAGTAACAGAAGACTCGCACTTCTGTTATCCAAGAAAGACTCAGAAGAGTACTGCAGGAGGGACGCTGACATCGAAACCTTGCGGAACACGTGATTACCACAACTAACGCGGACCTGCTTACCACGACTAAAAGCACTTCAATTGTAATTCATTACTGTAGAGTGATTCTGGTGACCTCTGGCAGTGTTCGAGTCATCTGAGGAAGTTCTGGTGGAGGCCTCCTGCAATGCCCAATATGGAACGTCCAGAATATCATAAGGCTGATTGGAGAACCTTTCTGAGGTAGTTCTGATACCTACTTAAGGCAGATATAGATTAAACCTAATGTCTTAACCTGGAACCGATTACTGAATTGATGGTTTACGCACATGCGTTGATATCTACGTGCTGAAACTTGTGCGAATGAACTATAAGCATGAGATTCAGGGACTAGGAATATGTCTCCGAACATAGGTCAGTGCGAACCACCTGTTCAAATTGTCATATCGGAGATTCGGAATATTACCTTTTCATTCTTGTTGATCCCATCAGTGAGCCCATGGTTGACAGAAAGATATAAGTTTATGGTGCAGCACAACTTACTGAGCATCCGTGAGCCCATGGTTGACAGAAAGATAAAAGTTTGTGGTGCAATACAACTTACTGATCATTCAAGTTAAGTGTACTACTTATGGTCACATCAAGGTATGAAGTCAAAAGATGAGAACACAAATAATACATTTGAGCTTTTCAAGACTACATACGCCTTTATGGCTCTTTTTCATTGCAATTTATGAGTATCCAAGTTCCCAAAACGCCAACCGTGCCTTTGTTAGTAGAAAAGTTCCCTTCATTGTGTTTTTCTTAAAAGATGAAAAGCATTTCGTCCAAAATGGGTTAATTTGTCCTTGTCGAAGGGAGCAATCAAAAATCAAAAAGGTTGCAGAAAGTAAATTGCCCAATGTCCCCAAATTAGTCCAACCATGTATTTTTCTACTTAAGCCCGCATTGACGGAATGCAGAGAGCGAACAAAAAGAATTCTTTGGCGATGCCCATGTTAACCTTGAGCTGCTATGGCCTGCTCTATCCCTGTAAGGGCAGATGCTAAGTTTACCCTCTGTCCTTACAGGTGAAACTTACCTATTATCAGACGCTACTTACCTGCTATATTTTATTTGTCTGCTTTGTGTACCAGATATATGATTAAGTCTCATAAGGTATACAGATTGCCTTCGTATTACTATCACAATTTGCAAGTGTTGAACTACTTTCCTGACAACAAAGCTCGTTTGACTATATGAAAGGGAAATAGTGTCCAACCTCCTGAATGTTCACGTCACCGAGCGCTTTCTGAGTACAAAATGCTTGAGCCGCGAGAGCCCTCCCACGAGTTGTTCCAGTTATTAAGGAGAATGTGTGGTCAGCAGAATTATTGGATCGGACGGAAATGCGCAACAAGGGCAATGCATGAGATTGAAAAGGACATAATATTCGAAGGCTCCGACCAAACAAATGTCAGAAGTTTAGACAGTTACAACAGTAACATAGAATAGGGTTAAAATAGAGTGAAGTAATCAGAAAGACAGATGTACATCCTGCAGCCTTCACTTCTACTAAATTTCAACCTTCATCTCCAACTCCAACTCTGTCCACACTAGGTTGTCACCACACTAGATTTTGATTGCATCCTCTTCCCTTGTTTATGTCGAGAGATTTGCGTCACATTTATTTGGCTTCTATAGAGGTTACGGATCGTGAGTTTCTACATAACGGGTTCGTTCACCGATGGTTTTGCTTCAACTGAAGCTCAAGCTCACGCAAAGAGGTCAAATGATGGCGATTTTCAGCCTTACCTCACATCGAGCAGTTTCAACCAGGATTTCTAAATTTAGAGTAGAGTGGGATGATGCATCTAGTTGTAATCGTAAAACTTCATATGTGGTGTCACGTACATGGTTTTGGGCAAGATAAAAAATCAGTCAAAGAGCGCAATGAGGAAGAGAACCGTAAGAGTTTTGACATGGCCAAGACATCCAGAAACAACGACGACTTTTCTTGAGGAGGGTAACAATTCCAAGCAGAGAACCATGAGCTTTGGTCTCCGTAGCAATCCCAGGGCACTAACGACTTGGGTAAGTACATCAGAAAGGATCTCAGATTCAAAAATCCATGCAGTGGTGCTTTGGGTTGAATTGAAAATAATATTCTGAATCACTATCAGCACTGGCCAAATACCTCATTTGGCTTTTTTTTTTTTAACCTATTTTCAGTATTTTGTTTTATATTTTCAAAATCTATGTTAGCCCAAAATTGGTCTCAATCTTAGCCACCATTCCTTCTCCTAGAAATGGATGAGGAATAAGGAGGGAACCATGGAGCCATAGTCAATGGGCAAAAATGAGGGAAGAGAACCTAACAAGTATCCATTGCCAATAAGCCATATGATTATTGAACATTGGCCGATAAGGACGATCAATGCACAGAAATTTTAGATCGCGCAAACAAACAATATGCGGCCCTATGTTACTCATTAGCCAACAGCTCTGGCATGGACTTCGTACCCTCCAAAGTTTGGGATTTTTTTGGAAGTATTGTGTTATTAGCAGGCCTCCTTAATTTGGGATCTCCCGAAATTACCAAAAATAAGCTAATATCGGGACCATTTCGAAGTTATTTTTGGGAAATTCGAGATATGGGGAAATAAAGGAAATAAAGCTTTACTTTCGTATGGATCAAACCGTCCTTAAATGCGGCCTCCTCGCGGTAAGTACACTTCATCTTGACAAAATCCTCACGATCTCGTTGATTTCTTCATCCTTGTACGTCTTCTTCAAACGGTACTTCTTTGAACAAAGAGTACTTGAGAAAGCTTTCATATCAACCTTGACAAGATGAAAAGGTAAGACAGGAGGCACTCTTTTTGGACTTCATTACAGTAGCAGAATCACACTCAGCCACGATTAATGAAATTTCACTTGCGTCCTCGTCAAACATTTGTGTAAAAGCGACAACCAATCGAGAGAATTCTACCTCTAGTAAGTCAGCAAGAGTGTCATACATCCAAACATCCAAATTGTCTAGACGAGCACAAGCGTGACAATTTATAAGCCAGTTTTACTAAAATTTGACATTTTATTTTTAGACGCCAGATTTGCCAGAATTAATAAGCCCACTTAGGCGACACCTGTATAAAGTTTCAACAAAAAATACAAGTATAAGGCGGGAGGTGTAGGCGGGCAGAAGGTAGAGAATCTCGCAAGCATCCAAGTGGAGGCGGGGAGTGGATAGCGGGAAGGAGTTTCTTAGATTAGAAATGCATTCCTAATCAGTGTTTTCTTGTCTCGAACGCAAGCACCAAAGTTATAGCGAAGCTTTTGCAATCCATCAAGAGTCAAAAAACTCCGTTTCAAGTCAAACATGGCATCGAGTTTGGTTTGCAATTGGTACAACGATCTGTACAGGGCACCATCACAACAATTTAATGTTTATTTTGCGTCCATATCGGTCGTGAAAAACGGAATGGTGAAGGTGTGAAGCGACAACGAACCAAGAACATGCAACTGTTCTAGTTTCCGTTTCGTCTTGAAGTCTACAAAAATCACTTGAAGTCTTAGCATCCTGAAGACTTGACCCGTTATCAACTGCTTTTGTATCAAGAAAAGGTTAGTTTCTTCAAGAAAAGAGATATATTATGCATACACCGTTACCTAAACACAGACAATGACATTCTTCAGTTTGTAATTTTTTAGTCTCCAACAGTTGATGTTGTGGTGGGAGATTTGTTTTTTCATCCGAAAGAAGACGAAGAAGACGATTTGTTCCAACCAATCAATCATGGCCAACGCCATGAAGTAGTTCAAATTGCAGCCAAACGGATCATACTTGGTTACGATCGAGAACTCTTCGCGGTTCAACCTTTCCATGCAACACATTTCTGTTGGACTGTCATTTAGGCCGACGGCTAAGGTGATTGAACAACATCGTGTAGCAACCAAGAATCCAAAACTGAACAGCCTCAACGATCATATGGTGAGTCAGTTCGTGCGTATGCTCCTTGCCGTCGCCTTGTAGATCATCTCCGATATACTCATGGATCCAAACATTTGGGCGTTTTTTCTAGCGGCTGATGCAAGCGCTTATTTGAAAGTTCTTGATCATCGGATTCGTGTGTGCGTGAAAGTCGTGTTGTACAACTTCCACCTCGTGCTGATACTATTCTTTGAACGCCATACTGCTCAAAACTATGTCAAGCTCATCAAGACTATGCTTGACAGCGTGTATCCATCTTGGCGCGACAAGATCATTTCAATCAGTTCAGATGGAGAAAATACAATGACAGATAGGCATGCTGGAGTTGTCACACTGCTTGAGAAGAAATATTCCAATCTTTTGCTTTGTATTTGGTGCGTTGCTCATCTGCTTGATATTGTGGTAAAAAATGCCACGCATGGTGTGTTGAACGAGATGTTATATAAGGTTGCCCATGCGTTTTTTGTGCATCTTCGAGCTCAACAAAATCTCATCAACGAAATGGGTTCCAAATGCTCAAAGGACACAACGCGATGGGTGGCATTTGGCAATATTCTCTGTTGACTTCTGGAACATCGTCGTTGGTTGATGATTCACGTGGAAAACAGACAACCTATCCAAGCTCCGTTCATGCAATGGTGAATCATTGCAAGAGCTCTATTCCCATTGTTTGAGCTGATTGCCGCCACTATATCCTCAATCCAATCTCCAAAGTTGATCATCTCTCAGCAACGCCAAGAGTTAGCGAAGCTGATGACAGACATTGCAGATAGTTTGGATATTTGTTCTACTACAGATGCAGCGCTGAACGAAATTGATTCTATCACAATTGTTCAGCAAGATGGTTTGTTTGTAACCAAAAATTCTATTGTCATGTATATATTAGATCAAGATTCGTGGGCAAAGGATCTATGTTATGAGCTTTCAGGATTTGAAGAGCAACTGACATGGGAGGAAATGGGTACTTTTTCACTCTCTATTGTGGCAAACGGTTTGCTAATCAAGGCGGAACGTGGTTCTAACAATCAATTCAGGGAATTGGAAGCACCTCCAGTGATGCCAGCAGATTTAGTCAAGATGCGTCTTGCTTTATTTATCGGCGAGGTGGTGGATCAATATAGGGCACACTTGGGCAAGCACTGGAGCGCTGACCTGATCGACAGGACGGAGAATGAACACCGTGACCTGCTACTTGTTTACGGACATGAGCTGAATGTGAAGGATACAATTGACAATCACAATGAGAAGACTTTCTTCAACGAGGCATGGGATTGTTTAAATAGACGTTTCCTGCATTTGCAACAATTGTGTGATGGTCTAGCTACTGCTTTTCCAAATACTACCTCCGTTGAAAGCGATTTTTCCATTATCAAATAGGAGAAAGATGACTCACGCACAAGGCTAACAAGTATTTCTTTGGCAGGCATTATGCATGCGAAGCAGTTTAAAATGCTAAAAACTATTGTAGCAAACCACTCGGAGTAAAAGTAGTGAAGTTAGTGTTAGTGCCAAAATT